ATGTGAGAAAGACACATGTGTGCCAGAGCACAGGGACAGGCCAGCTGGGAGTAGGCCTTTATCACCTTTTGGTCCCTGGCATCCCCGGGATTCTGTACAAACAATGAGAGAAAAGCATTCTCCTATGCAGAAAGGAAAAGCGAATTTATTCCTTGACTGACTCACTCCTTCAACAAAACAAAATGGAAATGAATGGGCCTCTGTAAACCAGACCCTTCTTTTGAGAACCTTCCTTCAGGCACCCAGGGAGGGAGGAGTCCAAAGAGTGGAGGGGAAAGCTCCGGGCCATCCAAGGCTCCTGGTAGTGGAACAAGTAGAATCAGAAGCCTGGTTCCCACCCAGGCTCAGTTTCTTYGACGGGTACAGTAAGGATAAGGAACCACTTGTCCATCTCCCAGGCTCATTTCCATTGTCAAATACAGAAGCAGAAAAAGACCCAGAGAAGCACAGAAACTCCCATTCTGTACTGCTCTATTGTCAGCCAGAGAAAGGAAGCGTGGGGTGGCCGGCAGTCCTGAAGGTGGGGGCTCAGCAGACCTGTAGCTCCCTGTAGCTCCCTGGACAGAGTGAAGGATACTCTGGGCTCAGCAGACCCTGCTAAGCCAGGCAGCAACCCAGTTAGTAAGATGACATAACCTGCGTGTGATGAGAGGGGAATCCATTCCAGGGAAGAGAGAAGTGGCAGGAAAGGCCAGATGGAATCCAGGGTGTGGAGGGGCTCCCTGGTTGCCAGCACTCGGGCAAAAAAAATAAAATAAAAAATTTGCAGCTCAACCCAAATGCCACACAAATAGGCACGACCCTAGTATAAGCACACACCCTTTCATTCCTGAGGGTGGTCTCAAAGTAGACTACCAAGGTAGACCCAACTCCTTGGCAGGTTCTTTGCACTCTTGCACTTTGTACCCAGTGACTACACCTTGACTATGGTCACAGAACTTCAAGCCGGTTTGCCTGGAAATCTTCCAGCCCAAGCACCATACTGCTTAAGTGAGAAGGTTCAGAGAGGAAGGGGGTGACAGGCAGAGAGAGATTTTCTATGGACCACGTTGGCCTTGCATTTATGGCCGCTATTTATGGCCACTCCTGTCAGCTAAAAAGTTCATAGGTTTTTAGCACCTCTGAACCTTCCCTCTGGGATTGCTCGTTATGCACTCTGTGTTGTTACTGTACACATCAAATCAGGAGTTGTGCAAATAGCTGGCAACTTGGAACAAGGCTGCAGACAAAGAGGGCTCAGCTAACACAGTTATACAACCAGAAATGAGGTAATTTGAACTTTGGTGGAGCTGGGTTTATGGCCTTAGCCTTTTTGAATGATGATGCAGAGAAGCAATAGTTAATTGAAGACACCTAGTGCTAGGAGCTAGTAAAGGAGCACGCCACCTTTCTTGAGTCTTACAAAAAGAGACCTGAGGTTAGAAAGGAAGCCTACAGTGGCAGCCTTGTCATGAACACGGGGCTGTAGGAGTCTGGATACACCAGTTCTTCTCTCTGGGCCTCAGTTTCCTTAGTGGAACTTGAAAGGGTTTGGATGAAAATCTAAAGGGCTCTTTCAGTTCCAGGACTCCAAAAGAAAACTTAAAAGGCAGGGTTATTTGGCTTACAGAAAGGGTGACCACACAGAATTGGCAATGACACTGTCCCCAAATAAAAAATAACTGAAGTTCACTTTCAAAACATTCATGCTCACCAACAGAGGGTAAAAGGCCAGACTGACCTAGCTTCCCACAGCTTCAGTGCCTCAAAGTCAATGCATGACAATTGCTATGGAGCCCCTGCTTGTCAGCTGGCTTTGTCATCTGGGGCTGATATTGGAAAGCCTCTGCAGGAACAAGATGGAAACTGATGAGCTGGTCAGTCATCCTCGCCTCCCTAGTCTTGCTGAATCACCCTTGACATTCTGCCTGGAAGCAGGAGTTCGGAGGAGGTGGGTGACCTCTTGAAGCCCCAGGCCAGGCCTGTGATTCTGTAATCTTTGCTTTACCATAATTAGGGAGGGAAGCAGAAGAGTAGGAGGAGAAACCATTTATTACTTCTCTGGGATTTGACAGCTTGGAGAGGGAGAAAGAGAAACAGCCAGGGAAGGAGCCAGCCACAGTGAGTTTAACCTCTCAGTAAAATAAAAATGGGCTGGACGCACCTCATCAGCTGCCCTCTGTCAATACTTGGGCCCATCTGGCAGAACTCGAGGTTCCCAGCTAATTGGCATTTCCCATAGAGCCAGCAAAGAAGAGCTTAAAAAAAAAAAAATACATGGTGTAGTGTGTGTGAGTGTACGCATGTGTGTGTGTGTGTGTGTGTGTGTGTGTGTAAGCAGACTGTGGAGCACCACACTTCCCCAAGGTGTGAGCTCCCTAGATCATCTATTATATAAAAAAGTACAGACAGTCCCCACCCCCACCCTGGAGCTTAAAGATGAAGAATCCAGCCTGTTTGTTCCAGGCAGATGTAATCACACGAACAGTCAAGTCTAGAGGGCAGGACACTGCATGAATAATTCAAGCACTCCAGTCACTTGATTGTGTGTGCAGATAAAACACCAGTCAACCGCTAAACAGGTCAGCTGATAAACTTGTTTGCTCAGGCCTAACCACCATCCGCCAAATGCACCCAAGACCCACACTACAATTAGTGGCAGGGTTTTCTTCTGCAGAGCCCTCGCAAACCTAGGGAGTGGCCAGCGCCATTAGGTCAGGGTTGCATTTCTAAGCCCAGAGTTTCCTCACCTCCTTGCCTCTTTGTTTCTATACCGCCACAGGGTGATTTCACCCAACTCAAGAGACTGCCACAGCCGGCAGAGACAGCACATTCAGGGCACATGCATTCATGCTGGGAATGGGCTAGAAGGCAAAGGTGAGAGGCCAGTGGGATAAAGCACCCAGCTGAGAATCCAGAGTCTCTGATGTGAGTCCTAGCTCTGCCCTCTGGCCTCCCTGAGGCCTTGGTTTCCCCACCTATAAAAAGGGCAAAGAATCCCTTTAGCCACCACTGGCAGCTGAGAGGATTAAAGGAGACAATGTAGCCAAACCTCAGGCATTCTCCCCCTAAGAACCCTGTTTGGGGAATGGCCAGAAATCCCAGATGCACACAGCTGCTCTTTATACAAACCCCACCACCAAATGCGTTAAGATGTTTAACTCTTCTGGGTTCACAGCGTCCCCAGGACTCGGAGAATAGCTTTGCTCTGCCAGCCAAGGTGGTTCCTTTGTGCCAAAGAAGCATCCACTCATAGATATGGGGACACCACCCATGCAGACCTCAACATGCAACGACATATTACACCTTAATTACGAAGCTCTTAGAATAACTGCTGCTATAAATTTAAACCTGGTTGCAATTACCCTCTTTAAACCTCTTTAAACATACCCAAGATACTAAGCAGAGAGAGAGAGAATGAATGTGTGTGTGTGTGTGTGTGTGTGTGTGTGTGTGTATGTGTGTGTGTTGAAAGGTGGAGAAAGGGAGGAAGTGACACCCTGCATAACACACCAAGGTCCTTGAAACACCTGGGAGACCCCAGTTTCGCCACATGCATTTTTTTCTGGACCAGTCAGACCTGGTCAGTTCCACCTCCAATGGGGCAGAATCTATCTCTAGTCTCCCAAGGGAAACCTTATTTACATATAAATCAGGATCTGTTTATTATTTTTGTGGACCWAGAAGTGAAAACGTGGTAGCCTTCATGTGCCTTCCTAGAGAACTAACCCCTCAGAAAGCCACAAACTGGCTTCCCACACTGCTCTGTAAACTCGGGCCCCTGGCTCTTCACCCAACACTGGGGCTCCCTCCAGGACAGGGAAAGAAACTACAGAATCCAGAAAGACTCTACAGGAAGCCACTGGAGCAGGGAGGGGGTCACTTACCCTTCTCACCTGCTCTAGGTCCTGCCTGCTCTAAAGAGCAAAATTTAAACCTTGTAAACGACTGTTAATTTAGAGCAGAAAATCCATTCAAGTCACGGTCACCAAAGGCTAGAATGAGTCAACAGCCTTCTGAGATTTCAAGAACACCAATTGTTAAAAAGAACAACCGGGCCTGCGCCATTTATTCTTGCCAAGTCAACGCTAATCGGTCCGCCAAGCCAAATTATGGGCAGCCTCTCCTCTCCTCGGAACACAAATACACAAACAAGCCTCTCCCAYGGCCAGCCCAGCACTGGGACTAGTTACTGATATGCACCAAGATAAAGGGTGTTTGTATTTGCCAGGTTTGAGGTATACTGTTATTAGAAGAGTGACAATAGGGGGTAGTTTACATATCCATCAAATGACACCACACTAGCTAAACTGGTTTGACTTGAGGATTTCAAAGCTGAGCTCAACCCCCAACCATCTCAAAAGGCCTGGCCAGGCTGCCCGGGGCCAGTTACTTCATCCTCAGCTTCAGCTTCCTTCTCTGTAAAATGGGAACACAGCTGCCTTCAAATTAAGATCCAGATGAAAAAGTCGCCTTCTAAATGTGAGGCATTAGAGCTCTATTTCATTTTGGTTTTATGTTTTTAAGCCGTTAGTGGCTTCATTCCCTTAAATTTCGACAGCTCAGTCTGGCTTTTAAGGCTCTTGAAGTTTAATCTTATCAAGGCAGAACATCACATTTTTTGCAAGAAAAAAAAAAACACAGAAAAAGAGAAAAAAAAAAAAAACCTACTGCATTTCCTCTGGAGGGTTTTACATTAAAACAGATAAAAGCAGTCAGCCAGCTCTAGGTTCTCAGGAGTCTGTAAAGCAAATCCTGTAGGTATGACTTTCCCTTTGGTCCTTTATCCTCCACCAAGATCCAAGACCAGGACTAATTTCACAAGCTCCAATGCTAAAAGCTCAACATGTCCAAGAAATCTGCCAAGACTCAACACCTGCATTTCAAGGACTAGATCCACTTACTCTGGGAGAAGTGAGAGGAACAGAAGAACCAGCTCATTTTCAAACAAGGGGAGTCACAGAAGTCCACACATATGTTTTTAAAAACCAAATTCATTTCTTAAAGAGAAAAGCACTTACCTGTTTGTGCATTTCAATGTTCAAGCCATAGGACATCTCATAGTACTAAAAGTAAAGAGAACTGCCATTAAAAGACAACACAGAAATTTGTTCATGTTTCAACATCATTTTTTTTTCCTGAGAAGGTTTTGGCAAAACCATACTTTATGATCCATGAGTTATGGAAGTTTAAAACAAACACCAAAGCCAGCCCATGTTGAGGTTTAAGCGCTGGCATCAGGCGAGTGGGCGAGTGTTCTTCTCATCTCAACAGAACATTACATACACAGTAGTAAGAAAAGCCAGGCCCTCCCTCCCACAAGCACCACATGTGCCATATATCCTGTTTATACAAGGTGCGGGCTCAACAGGGAATGGTGTGTACACCGGGCCCCCCTTGTCCTCTGAGAGTTATTTAGCACTGTGTAGAAAGCCTCTTATGTGGAAAGAGGCACAGGGAGCATGCTTTAGGGCCTCCCATACCCTCTGACAAACAGAAGATGTAAACTTGCTGGAACAGACACTGAGTAAAGGGGGAGATGTCTATCTATGATCCCACAGCAGACAAGACTCTTTACTGAGGAGGGACGTGAAGGCAGAGAGATTTAAAAGGCTCTTCTACTTCTCAGAAAACCCTGAGGAGGGAGGGTGCTTCTGTCCCACTCTGGCTGGATCCCAAGGCTGCAAAGTAGAAAAGTTTCCAAACATCCCCAGGAGGTCTCCAAGAGGGATTTTTACCCAATCCTGAAGCGGAATGATCCAATCCTACCTCACTAGCCAAGACAGGGCCACCGGCCCTCTGAGAAACCTTTAAAACACAAATCAAAGGCACACAAAGGTAGTGCAGAGGTCTCCAGTCTGGAATCTGGGTTTCCTCTCTCTGCCTCTCCTTTCACTACCCTCCTCCAAGTGGCCTGGCTAAGGGAAGCTGGTGAAGGGGTGGAGGGCACATTCAGATTACACGGCTACCCTGCGGCTGGGCCTCGGTGGGGACTAGGTTCCTGCCTCCGCAGATCCCAGCTGCGACCCGACAGGGTCTGCGCCCTGCCCTCTGCTCCCCTCCCCGGGCCGCCTCTCACCATCACATAATGGCGCTGCATCTCCGTCTTCTCGTTCGCCAGCTTGTCGTACTCCACTTTGAGGCTGCGGAGGGCAGGAGGAACCGCTCAGGCCTGGCACCTGCACGACCTCCTCCCGGACCCAACCCAAGGGCCTCCGAGAGCCACTTCTCCACTTCCCTGATACCCAGGGGGTACCCCATGACCCCGCCAGCCTGGGGCGGAGCGGGGGCCGGGTCCCTGCCACCGGGAACCGGGACCGAAACTACTCGAAACTTCCCACGGCCGGGCGAGCRGACTTATCCTGGCCGCCGGGGTGCGGCCCCTGACGCAGGCTTGCGACCCCAGAAAGCCGAGCAAACCGGCAGGTGACCCCGACCCTCATGCGGGGGCGGCACCCAGAGCCGGGCAGCTGCGGGCAGCGAAGGGTTAAGGCGGCGCGCTGGGAAAGGGGAAACAAAAGGCGGAGGCCCTGTCGCCCCGGGGTCRGCAGCCCTTCGGTCCCCGCTGGGGGTGGCAGGAGCCGCCCCCTCCCCGCCAGCCCCGGGGCCGCCCCCACCAGCCTTACCTGTGATATTGAGCTTGCAGGAACTGGAATTCGTCTTTGATCCTGTCACAAGACTCAGCCACCGTGAATTTAAATCCCGGCTGCCCGGGCTGATGGGGAGCCTGGAGCCCGCAAGGACAAGACAGGGGAGGGACGCCGGCTTCAGAGGGGCTCCAAGCCGCCTGGCCCTCCGCGGCGTCCCGGCCCCTCCCCGCCGAGACCCACGGGAGAGGCCACCCTCACCGCCCAGAACCTTCCCAGCAAGTTTCTCAGCTCCCCGACGGGGCAGGGGCGGGGGGTGCCCCGATCGCTCCCTATCCGTCGCGGGCTCCCATCCTTTCTACTAAAGGCCCCCATTCCCAAGTCGGCGGGGGCGGGGAGCCACRCCGGGCGAGTTGGGAGACTTAGGAGAGGGGGCGGGGGCAGCGTTAACAGCTCCCCCTCGAAGGTSCACGGCCCCCACTCCACTCCGGCGGAATTACCCTTCTCTCAACAGCGTACCCCCACCTCAGCCCCTTTGTGTGAGCACACACACACACACATCATAGGTAGCAACATGCAAAATGGAGGTGCCAGATAAACTGCCTCGTTTACCCTGCCATGATAGATGCTTAAATAAACCGAGTTGCAATTACTCACCGGATGTCTGCCTTGCGGATACATGGCAGGGAGGGGTCGTGATTCCGAGAGCGTGGAAGCGCCGAGAGCCCGGGCCGGAGAGGTGCGGGGGAGGGGGGAGCCGAGCCCGAGCGGGGGGCGGCCGGGGAACCGAGAACTCGCCCCCGGCCCCCCCAGCCCGCTATCACAGCGAAATCCCAGAGTCGGGCGCCCGCCCCAAGTGGAGACAAAGAGCTGCGGAGCAGGCGGCAAAGTCGTCGGCGGGCGCCGAGGCCGGGCGGCGGGAGCGGGCTTTGTGCTCCTAGGGCTCGGCGGGCTGCAGCCGGCCGCCTTCCCCTGGCTGCGTGGACAGTGTCAACGCCTGGGGCTGCGTGGACATCGTCGGCTCCCCGGCGGGTCCAGAGCTGGGTCCCAGGGCCGGGGGCTCCTCCCGGGGCGAGCGCGGGTCCCCTTTGGATTACTCAGCGCGTAGAACCTGGAGCGGGGTGCGCGGGGCAACCCCAAGCATCCGGGGCGAGCGGGTCTGATCCTAGAGGCAGCCGGGTCGGGGACTCGCGACGAGAAGAGGAAGAAGGCAGGCACTGAAGGTGGCTGCTCGGGGCCGCAGGAGCGCGGGAGGGTGAGGGCTGGAGCCCGGCGCGGGCGCTTCGACGCCCCCCCTCGGAGAGGAGAGCCTGCTGTTCCGTCTGCTACTGCCGCCGCCGCCGCCGCCGCCGCCGCCGCCAACCCTTCCCAGGGCCGGGGAGGAACTCCGGGTTCAGTAGGAGCAAATCAACCGCCCTGGCATCTTATCCCAGCGGGCACGGAAAACCTCAGCCAAGGGGTCCTCGCTGCTCCCAACTTGAGCTGTGCGAACCCAGCGAGGAGCGCTCGGCGCCACCGCCGCTGCCGCCTCACAGCGCGCAGGCAGGAGAGCGCTGGAGGAGAGACGCAGCCTGAGACAGGGAGCTCTGCGGCTTCCTTCCTTCCCTTCGGCCMGGCTCTCTCCGAGCCCCGAGAAACCCCCGAACACAAACACTCAACACACACACATACACACACACCAAAAAAAGTGCCTTGGACCTGCGGATACCACACACAGACAGGCGAGGGGGACGCGCACGAGGTCTGAACTGCCGCGAGAGCAGTTCCAAATAGGGACTGAAAAGTAACAAAATAATGTGGCAGCTTCGCCCGGCACTGGCCAATGGGAGCGCGGAGTCCCCACGTGGGGCTGCTGGGCTCGGCCTGCGACTGGGCGCCGCCGGGCGCGACGTCACAATGCCCTCTTGTGTCTAAAACTATGCATGAAAAGTAGCAATCAGGCCCTACCCGCTGGTGACTTTCGCATGGGAGTGAAAAACAGCGCTCCTCAGATCAGGAATTAACCAAAAGACATATAATAAATAGATATATATTATAGTCCTGGGCTGCTAGTTTTTTTCCTCCTCTTTTTTTCCCACGATCTACTAGCAAATAATTATTTAGCAGGAGGGGGAAAGAGAAGACAAGAATAACAACAAAAGAAAAAAAAAGACAAGCTGTACGATCTTCAAAACCTGTGGCTAGTAGTAATGTATCGGTTTATTCTGCAGTGGTGAGAACGATTCCTCCCTCTAATCTCATTAGGTCTGCAAAGCAGCCCAATTAGATACTATAAAACAAACAGAATCACTTTGTCACTTTAATGTTTTCACTTCACAAGATTTAGGACGGATAAAATGGTGGCTCCCAAAGTTGCCTTCGATCTTTAAAATTTTGCTCGGAACTGAGGCTGTCCCTATCTTTCTCCCTTCCTACCGCTGCCCATTAGCCCCCAGCTTCCCTTCTTTGTTCCTTCGCCCTTCTTTTCAGAAAGCCAAATAAACAGCGCCTCTGATGAGCGTCGGCTGCCTGAGAGAAGTCTGAGGAACTCTGGCTTGGCGGGTAGCGCAGATGGAAGGGCCCAGCAGCCCGCGGACAACAGGCTCTGTTCGCGGCTGACCCCACTCGGGGTTCCTTCCCAGTGGGGACAGCTACGTCCTGGCCGCAGGCTTCCCGGGAGGGGTCCCCGCTTCGCTCCAGGTCCAAAGGAGTGGAGCTGAGAATAGGGTCAGGGCTCTCCCGGCCGCAACCCGAGAGTTCCCACCCGGTTGACTCGGCCTAGTCGCCGTATTATCCCAGCGTTGGCAGCAGCTTGTGGAGGACAGTCTATGTGAGAGCCTGCGGTGTCTGGGGCGCGAGCCTCGACGCCCCTGGGGGCACAGCCGCTCCCCAGCCTCCAGCGCACGCCTGGAGCACCCCTGCACGGCTCCTCGCAGACTCCCTGAGCAGTCCCAAAGGCCACTCGACTCTTGGGCCAGTTTGTCCGCAAACAGATAGCCTCGTCTCCTGTGCTCGGGGTTACGTCAGGGTAGACCGGCCTCAGGCTAGCGGAGACAGCACTGCCGGGTGGGAAGCCCAGGCAGGTCCCTCGGCCTCTCCCCCGGCCTCTCCGCAAGCTAGAACGCACCCTGGGGCGGCGGCGGCCGCGCGCAAACCGGCCGCGCGCTCCCGTATCTATATTTTCCCCTCATTAAGAGCCGAAGGTTCGCTTTTGCATCTTAATGAGGAGCTGAGAGCAAGCCGGCCCTCTGAGGCCGGTGCGCAGGGAGTTACACGTGAGCGCCGGCCTCAGAATTGAGTCTCCCCGTGCCCGCTTCGGCCGCCTGCCCCGAACCGCGATTCTCTCTTCATTTATTTATTCTCCTAAATAAAAACATAAATCGTGTGCAGCGCGCACCGAAAAGGGGGGGGTTAGAAGAAACCCGGCTCGACAGATGCGAGCATCTGGCCACAGCATTCATTAGACACAAAATGGCTCCTCTTTGGAGCTTCCTTTTCCCCTCCCCCGTCTCTGCCCTCCCCCTTACGTCACGGGTGGGCGCACCCGCTCCCTCCTCGCCCCGCCCATCTTTTCTCTGGCCCCCACGTGGGGAACGCCAACCACGCCCYGAGCAAGCCTTAACAACCAATCACAGATAGCGAAAGGAGCTTCAGGTTACTGATTGGTGGAGCTTCCAGGAGCTGTCAATCCGTGACCAGAGCTGTCAGTCAAAACCACGCGGGGTGGGGGAGCGCTGACAAATGCCGAGGCTTCTGAGCCTCCCGCTTGCAAATAGTGCTTGGAATGGCTGCTTAATTAGCTTTGAATGGCTTTTCCTTCCAGCTCAAACAATCTGTCACTACCATGTGGTATAAAGGAGCCATGCATAAAAAAGTAAGCAGAGGCTAAATATCAATTTGATTTTGTGTATCAAAGGAATATTTTATTTTTCTCCCTAGTAATGAAACGTATCAATTTAAATAATAAAAGGTAAAAACACACACACAAACCCGAAAAAAAAGAAAGAAAAAGAAGAACCAAAAATAATAATAATAAGAGAGGGAGAGAAAGAAAGAAAAAGAAATCCCAAACTCCATGGTGTTCTAACTCTTGCGCACGACTGAAATAGGTAATTTCTAAGGCCACGTTCCGAACGAAGCCTGACGACTCACCCCACCCCCACTCCCGCCCCTTTAAACTTGCATTTAGTGTTTTGCTGYTGTCCTCCTCTTTCTGTCTAGGAGTGATGGGGGAAGGGTGTCCTGTAAAGTAGGAGGAAAGGTGGGGGCGGGGAGAAGGGCAACTTTAAAGAGAGCTCTTTGAAGCTGCTAATCAAAGTGGAGGGGGTTTTAAGACCCTGTAAACTGAGGGTCCTACAGCAGGTCTCGATTTGGGAGCCGAGAAGGGGGGGGGGGAGAGAGCGAGTGTACGTCTTGCCCAGATTTATTAAACACAATGCCTTCAAGATGCCCGGGAAGCGGCGCCTCGCCTGGTCTCCTTCTCTGGGTCTCCCTCCGGACTGGCTCCGACGGCGCCTGCCCGCTGGCGGCCAAGGGAGCCACTGGCCCCCCAGGTCGGGTCTATGCGGACTCTGTACAGAAAAGCACAGCAGCTCAGTGTCAGGTCCGTGTGTTTCTCTGGCGGCTCTCCGGGAAACCCCGCGAGCTAGAGAGCTCCTGCAAGGCAGACAAACCCAGGTCGAGTTCACCTGTAAGTCTCGGGGCCGGTCATGGCACACTAGAGGAGTCAGTCACCCGGCCTGATAGACGAGGTTTTGCAGAGCTCCGTCTCTACCGCAGAGCCGGACCGCCAAAGCGTGCCAGGCAGTAAGGAAGAATAATTCATGATCGCTTAATAGTTACAAGGCAAGCCACTGCTTCCCAGACACCACCGTGTGCATCCTCACCCCACTTCCTAAGAGGCCTGGCTGGTGGCCCACTTTACAGAGTAGAAAACAGAGGCGAGAAATCTTAGTAATTTGTTCTAGACTGGGCAGAGGGTCAGAATTAGAATCCAGGGCAGCTGGCCCTTGTGTGAGCATTTGCAGAAGGAAATTCATTCCTCCTTCCTTATGTCCTTCTTCCTTCATTCATTCCCAGCCCTTTCTGAGGGTCTGAGGGTGGGGGCAGCGCTCCCGCCTGTGGATCTCCCTTGCTCTGCACTAGCCTCGCTCCTTACTCTGCCCCATAGCCTGAACCCAGAGCAGGAAGGGGGCAGAGAGCTAATTATCCAGGCCAACACCCCTTTAAGGTCGCCACTGCTCTGCCCCCCACTCTCATGCCACCCCACAAATTAGGAAAAACAAGGAGAAAAATATACTTCTTTTTTTGCTTGAGAAAGAGAAAAGAAAATAAAAAAACATGTATACAACACCCTGTCCAAAGTGCTTGACAATTATTTTAAAGAAAGGGGGGAGTGGAGAGAAAGAGTTCAAACGTCTCTGTCTCCAGTTCTAATTGGAAACGTTTCAACTGTTTATGTTACAAGAAGTGTCAGGGTCATTTGCTACCGGAGAGCTGACTTTTCATTGGCTGCTTAATTGAGTACCTCGGAGTCCACCCCACGTGGGAGAGGAATTCCTGGCACATTAAAAAAAAAAAAAAAAAGTCACCGAGTGAGAAAGAAAGCCCGGCCTGGATCTACAGTGGAGGTTCCCTAGACCCTCATTTGGGGTGCAGGATGATTGATGGGCAGTTTCTTCCAGCCCCAGAGCTGCTCCTCTGGTCCTTTAAAAATAAGTGTCAAATACTTCAGATAAGTGTTAATATATGTTTCCACCCTTTTCTCAGGAATTAGAGGACCTGGTTCTGGCCAGCCACCAGGCTGTGGCCTCCTATTTGAGGAACTGATCACAGTGCTTTGGGTGGGGTTATAACCCTCTCTCTGTCATCCCTTCTCCTAGAGTCTCCACAGGCTTTGATTTTTTGGAGGGCTCTTCCTGGAACTGCCCAAAGGGGAAAGAGATCTTCCTCACCACTCCCCTCAAGTTAATTCTTTTAGGTTCCTCTGATTCTTAGACTTTATCTTCCTCACGAGGGTAATTCTCCACCCCTCCATCCACCAATCCTCTCAGACCTTTCTCCATAAGCCAGCACCTCACCAGAGAGCAAGAGGAAGGGGAATTGGTATTTATTTGACAAACTTACGTAGTGCTTACTCTGTACCAGATGCTATTCTAAGCCCTTGGCAAATATTAACATATTTAATCCTCACACAAAGAATGAAGTGGTTGCCATTAATATCACTCCCATTTTACAGATGAGAAATTGATACAGTGGTACAATAACTTGCCCAAGGTTACTTCAGTGACTGAAGTACTTGAGCCAAACAATTCAGCTTCAGAGTCCTTAACTAAGCATGCCTTGCTGCCTCTACAAGGTTGGCTTTCCAGGACTGTGACCGGAGCTACAGGATGGGCCATAAGAATCTGAAGGGTCCCCAGAAGTCCCTAAGGCAGCTTCTAGAGAATGCATCCTGCAGTCATCTCATTTCAGGGAAAGGAGCCTCATGAAGTTGGAGGGACTTCCCAGAGCCTCCCAACTCCTCTTCTGTGTGACCTTGGGGGACCTATTTAATCTTGCTAAGCCTCCATTTCCTCATCTGTAAAGTGGAGATAACAATCCTGTCGACCTCAGAGGATTGTTGAGGATCGATGGAGATAATGCATGTGATGTACTTAGTACAGAGCTGGCACATTAAGTGATCAATAATAGTTAGCTACGGTGGCCATGATGATGATGTAGTACCAGCTCAGGGATTCAACTTCTTGAAGGTTTTCTGCCCGTAGAGGCGAGGAAGGCTCAGAATGCCAGTCCTAGT